TCTATAAATAATGGACAACATAAATCTGAGTTGATATATCACTTCCTGCCGGACAAATCTATTTTAACTGCAATAACAATATTCATTTTTTTTGTAATTGTTATTAGGCAATTGATAAAAATATACGATCAACTGGTAATTATCGACACATGGTCATGCCAACAGAACCTATAGGAAGAGTTCCAAATAAATAAGCCCTCAAATTGGTCCACTGCTGCTCAGATGAATTTGCTTCTTTGAAATTTCCAATTTGATATGTTAATATTTATCACCATGAACGGATTTATCTATGTAATTTAAGTTCAAGATTCAAGATTCAAGATAATTTATTGTCTGATTTAAAAAAAATACAAAAATTCGTCCTCCACTGGCGAGTGACGTACATATACAAACAACATAAACAATATATAAATACATTCGAGGATACAAAGGAAATACAACAATAATAATAATAACAATAATAGTAATAGCAATAATAGCATTAACAAAACTGACATGTAAACTTGAAGACTGGCATTTAAAAATGAATCTCGATAATGCACAGAATGCATTGAATAAATTAATTTAAGTGCTCTGAAACATTTACCCCTTCTCTCCCAGAAAAGGGGTATGAGGAGAGAGAGAGAGTAAAGAACAAATCTGAGAGAGAGAGAGGGCGAGAGAGAGGGAGGAGTCGAATGGAGTAGAACAGAAAGGAAATGTGAGGGAGAAAGAGAAGAGGGGAGAAAAGAGAAGGTGACAGAAAACGAGGAGCTCTGGGAGGGAAGAGATGAGGTAGAGGTAAGAGTACAGGATATCAAGAACAGTGACTGCCCGTGGTAAAGAAGACACATGAGTCGTCAACATTCGAAATTTGAAATTCAGAGCTGCAAGCTAGATATAGACCCTGTGCAGTAGAAAGTTAGAATACAAAAAGTGTCTATTAAGGAACCTAGCCTTAGCCATTTCACATTTACATATACATATACATATGTGTCATGAGACAGCGGCCATAACATACTAAACACATGTTAAAGAGGGCGTGCACAAAGTCTGGTACAAAGAGATACAGTGTAGAAGAGAGGGGAGAAATAAGAAAAAGTGGTAGAAAAGGGAGAGATGCACACCTAAAACAAAGCTTCAAGTGAAACGAGGGAAGAGGGAGGGAGAAAGAACATAGCAGCTGACATTCATGCACGCACTCAAGATACGTTGTTTCTCCATTAAAAGATTAAAAGATTACTGTTTCGCATTATTATGGACGGAGTGAAAGGCATTTAAACACTATCATATATATATATATATAAATTCAGGAACAATAACCTCCATGACATAATCATAGTTTTTTAGATCAGCAACAACACTTAGCAATATATTTCTAGAAAGTGCAGGCTCAAATTGCTCAGCTAACTTAATATGAATTATGAATTTAGCTTCATCTTTCAACTGTAATTGTTATCTTTTTTCTTCCGCAAGATTCTACAATTCTGTTTAAAAGAATATAATTTTTGGAAGTATCATTGCTCTGGACTGGTTGCATTCTCATTTAATAACGATTTCCAGCAAAACAGATTTTTAAATTAAAACATCTAAAGATATTCAAAATGCTCCAGTCACTCTCTCTCTCTCTCTCTCCTCTTCTCTTCTCTGTCTGGTGCTGTTACTAAATTGACCTTGTGAAGAGTTGCTAAAGTGTAAACAAGATAATTATAGGTTTATTTGAGGAGGATTGAGAAAGTAAGAAAGTTTTTAGAGTTCATTAAAAACATTACTTGATGAAATCTTTCCAATATTGATGGCAAATTTAAGTAAACAGACTGAAGCACTTTTAATATCTTCTTCTGAGTTAATCTAAAAATCTGTTTCACTGGAAGTCGTAGTTAAATGAGAAAGCGACCAGTCCACGATCTGTTTAGCATTGTGGTCCCTCTTGCTTAGAGCTGGAAAAGGGAGCTTGTATCTGTACGCTGGCTGCTGTTCCATATGAAGCATAATGTTGCAGGGGATTCAGGCTCTGCAGTCTAGAATTTGGAATTGAAAGTTATATAATAACACAATTAATAAATACTAGAGGACTTTTTCAATCTATCTACAACTTTGTTTATATTTCTGGTCATGTCAATTTCCTTGATTGGAATACAAATAAAGTAGAAGGGTAATGAATATTCTTGACAAATATCGATACGAAATCAGTTTTAGTAAGAAAAGATAACAATTAATTTAGGTTTAGGTTTTGGAAAGAAGAAAAAAAAATCCATAATCATTTGTGAATGTTTTATACAATAAATTGGGTAAGATCGAAATTAGACCTCTAACAAGGACTATGAGAACTGTACTTACTTAAACAAAAAACAAATTATTGATTGATGTAGGGGCATGGCAATGATGACAGGCACAAAACATACTAATAAGATCAATTATGTGAACTGATACCGCTTACCTTTTCAACTTGAAGAAATGGACAAGACCTTAGGTATGAAATTCCAGCTGCCATAAGACGTGGAAGCTATTTTTTTATTACACACATTTTGGACTCCTCTTGATTTTGATTTTGATCCCAAATAAAATCTTGATCTTAAATGTGTTGATCTTGAACATGAGCTTTCATTAATTTTGTAATCTGACTCTACAACAGTCTAATCTTAATCTTGGATACACTGAACTTGAACCAAACCCTATTGTATGGAGATTTGATAAAAAATTACCCTCTGGTGAATAAAAGGGAAAGAGACCTTTCCTGGTATATAACAAACAGGTTGAAGCTTACATCATACATATGATTATTAGAGTTTGTTCAATCACATCTCTATACTTCAATTGCTGCCCTATGCTAAGTACAATTTTGATCAAAATCTGACTGATCTAGTAGTTAATCTATGTTTTTGACCTGTCATGGTTGGTTTCCTCTTAAATTAAGAATACAGAATTTTCAGTTTGTCATTGTAAAATCCAATATCCGGTATCTTAACCCTTTATCATAAATGAATATCAAGAATATAAACTCAGTAATTCATATCTATGTAGGTCTAGAAGAAGAAGAAAAAAAACCTCACCCTTATTTTAATGTCGGTGTTCAAACTTTGCTAAGAAAATCACATCAAAAGGCCACTTAGCACGGTAGGATCTGCAGTACACTTGAACTGGATTACATTATGCAGTCCAAGACGTTGAAGACACGGTGAGAGAGAAGTCTTATTCTTAGACTAGAGGTCTATTTCTTGGATATGACTCAGATGTCCAGGTCCACTCCATCTCTGACTCTGAAAGAAAAACAAAATAGGAGAGCTTGATACATGAGTCCACTAATACTAGACCTACATAACATTCTGCATCTAGTCTTAAATCTAACTTTTTACTGTTAGACGTAGACTAGATCTAACTCCTGTTAATTTAGATGTCACAAAAATACAAGTAGTCAACTACATCTATGACTCAGGGACTAACTCTAACTCCTAACTTATCTAAGTTAGTCCTGCACAAAGGGTGCAGTGTGAAGACTAGGTCTAGACTACATCTACCCTAGACCTGGTATCATGTAGACTAAATGATACATCAAGATCTTGATCAAGATCTAACCTGGTCTTCGGTCTGACACTGTAGAGTCGTATTTTCTTGCATAAAATGTTGAAGTTAAAGCAATGATCTCGTTGATTGTTATTATTAACACAAAACAATGGCTACCGCACTGCCTACCGGCAAAAAAACAAAGTAGTCTAGCCTGGATCTAGAATCTAGGCCTAGATTCGGAATCTAGATCTAAGCCTAAATCTAAATTTTAAGCACTAAACTTATCGACGAAACCATACAACACGATGATTCCAAAAGCCGTGGTAGACTTGTTTTGTTATCAAATGCAAAAATAAACTATATTTCTTACATGTCCTATTAAACCAAATATTCAACATCGTTTACAAGTAGGCTATGCTACAGTTAAACATGCATGAATGTAGGCTATATGAAGGGGACGGAAATGCATGAACCGGTGCAATTCGAAGAATTAACTTAAGTTTAGCTCAGTTGGGGAATGCTTTTAGTTGATATTTATTTCAAATATCGTTCGGTTACAAATGAGAGTAATACTTTCCTTCTACCAAAATAAAATTTGTCGTATCAACAGAACATAATTTACTTACTTTTCGAGGACCTCTCTTGCAGTAGTTTAGCGACGCAATGTTGTAGTTGATTGACCCGGAATCGACTAGCCTTGATTACAGAGCCCATTTACATTTAACCTACAATTTATCTAAATCAATTTTAGTCTAAGTCTGATTCGATGAAACGGCTCACGAGCATCAGTTTTAAGCCAAAAGTGATTCTGCCTTAAAAATTGATTTTTAAAATCGAAATTAATTTTAATTGATGAAACACCCTCCAGGGGGAGAAAAGGAGAAAAATTGTAATTTCCCAGCTTGGCATTGCTTAAGCTTCGAAAATTCACAAATTCTGAGTCGAAGAGTAAGAGCTGACGATGGCCTGGAGAGGGAGGGAGGGAGGGGCTGAGGCATACATGCCACCTCATGGAACTTGAAGTTCTTTGGACGATGAATCAGAAAAACAATGTAGAATAATTTTAAAAAGGACAGTTTGCCTTTTACGGTTCGTTGCAGCTAGAGCGCAACACCTTTGAATTCGCTGCCGGTATTCGCTGATTCGCCGCCATTCTGCCCAAAAATAAAACACGTACTTGCAACCCGAAATATTGATACTGATGATAATTAATAAGATAGTCTAGTGACAATAATAACATGATGATGATATTAACAGTAGTAAACGCAATAATAATAAATTATGATAATGATGATAGTAGTGGCAAAATAACAACAACAATAATAATAATAAGAAGAAGAATAAGAATGACAATTTATGATAATGATAATTAATTTTATCAGGATATGATTTTTTGTAAAGTCAAAATGAACTTAGATCTAGATCTATATTATTTTACCTTCCGACGGTTTATAATAATACATGCAACTGTATATCAAAATTTTGGATTTTCAATACAGGTATTCAAATTCAATCTATGCATTGCGACTGTTGAACCTACAATGAAAATTCTGAAATAACAATTGAGAGCAATAGTAAAACAAAACCCATCCTAACTTGGAGGTTACGCCCACGTTTTAACCTTTGCACCCCTTGACGCATTCGTATCATTTTGCTTTCTCACTGCAAACTAACTAAACAGGATCGTCTAGTAGGATTGTAATCTATTTTATACAAAATTGAACAAGAACATACATCAGCTCTGACATCGTCTTCACATGTCTGCAGCACTCAATGAGGTAAACCAAGTCTTCCTCGTCTGTGCACTTCACATCGTTCAGACGCAGCCACTGTAGGTTCTTGGTTTTTTCTCTGATCAGAAGACCCAGTCCTCTCATCGTCTCTCTCGATACACTCTGCTTCTCTGATGGGAGTGGGGGCCATAGCTGTGCGCTAAGCTCGATGTGTGTGAGCTGCTGTCTTCCGGTCCGACGAAGACCAGCCGTGATCTGAGGTATGTCTCTCTCTGCATCATCGATAGTGATACCGATATCTCTCAAGCCAGGAAGCGATGAGAGCAGACCTTCATAGCTTTGTGACGTCACTCTCCTACCTGATATCTTTGTGACGGATGGAAGCTCAGGAGGAGATGGAGGGAAACTGAGAGAGGAGTCTGAAATGCTGAGATGGTTCAGTGAGGTGTAGGATCTGAGACAGGACAATAATCTGGCAGTCATCTCGGTAGATAGCTGGCATTTCTCTAAGAGGAGTTGACCATTATCCTGGAATAAGAAAGTAATTTGATATGTTAGCCATATAATAAACAACAAATATTGGAAATGGGAAGAATTGAAGTGAAGGCACCGTGCTTTATGAAGTTGACATTATAATTCAGAAGCAAAAACAAAAACATTTGTATTATTTATATTCTCTTAAAATATTGCTGTACCTGTCAAGAAAAATGTCATTGCCCCCCCCCCCTCCCTCTCTCTCTCTCTCTTCAAGAAACGGGTCGTCTTTTTATAATTTCTCCAATGTTTTCCTAATCCATTCACCCCTTTGAATCCTTATGTTAGATTTCGATCCTTACATACATACTAAACACAGGGGGTAATTTTCAGGAGGGTGGTTGTTCTCGGGCGTACTTTGTCCTACACCCAAACAACAGTTGCTTTAAAACATTTGAGTGATGGGAGAAATATGTGCTCGGCATTTAAGGGATTCCATTGTTACGAACGGAAATCCATTAGTACCACCATGTGAATTAAAATTTAAGAGGAATTAAGTGGCGACATTGCAAAGTATTAAAATGATTACTATATCAATACATGTCCAGGAATATGTGATCTCTCTCTCTCTCTCTCCTTCTCTTACTCTCTCTCTCTCTGTCTTTCTCTTTCTTTCTCTGTCTGTCTGTCTCCGCCTATGTCTGTCTCTCTCTCCTTCTCACTTCCATCCTCCTTCTCCTCCTCTCCCTTTTCTACCTCTCTCCCATTTTCCCTGTGTATTCTGTAGCGTACATGTACACTTTTCTAGGGGGAACAATGTTTGCTGACTCATGTTTCCTGTAATACCCTGGTACTCCATTGTTCTTCCTTCTCCTCTTCCTCTCTTTTTCTCTCCTCCCCTCTCGCTCTATCTTTACCAGCTTTATTTGCTCTCATTCAATCTATCTCCATTTAACATTCTCCAGTATATTACCTCATTTTGCTTTCAACGGCTGTAATAAGTATTTGGACAGTATTAGATAATTTATCAACTGTATGTTTCGATCATACTATATATGCTGAAAATTAGTAACACTTTACAATTTTATATTTATATTATGTCTTTCTTATGTTATTAAACATTATTTTCCTGATCTTTGTTTGTTATGCAATTATGAGTTCAATATGTACTTATCAAGTCCATAGATATTGTATATACGTTGTTTTTATTGTGCAGGGCGCTCAGGGATAGCAGTTTGTAAACTGAAGAGGTAAGCCTGCTTAAAATAAAACGGTACAGATAATATACATATATATGGCCAATAAATCAATCCCTTTGTTTTGCATACGTGTGAATCTGATCTGCGAATGACTGATTTTCATTTAGACAGTCAACCTGTCTCTTTATTTCATGATATGACGGACCGGTGGGTTGGTGAATGGCTCCAAACATACCGGTCATTCACGGTTTGTGTTAATGTTAATTTCAATTTTATTTTCAAGCTTTTGTAAATGTGTAGGGTCATCGGAAGCATAATCTTATAATCTTGTAGTTAACATGTACATGCAGCACCTACATCCAATATAATATAACAATAAACAGGATGCCACTATATTTTTACAAACACGCTATACACATGATATACATTTAAATACATTTATGTTACACTGTCTAATGATATACTTGAATTCCGTAACAGGACAATTACCCCCAAGGGCAGCCACCCCCGGAAAATTACCCTCCAACCCCCCCCCCCCGAGGACAATTACCCCCTGAAAATTACTCTCTAGGAAAATTAACCCCCCCCCCCCCCTCCGAGGACAACAAAGCACAACCACCCCTGAGGACAATTCCCCCCCCCCCGGAAAATTTACCCCCTGTTCATTAAATGGGAAGTTCATTCTGATAATATTTCGGTTTTTTTTTTTGGGGGGGGGGGGGGTGGGGGGGGGGGGGTAATTGTCCTGGGGGAGGGGGAGCTTTGTCCAAAAGGGTAATTTTCAGGTGGGAATTGTCCTCTGAGTGGGAGGGGTGTGATTGTCCAAGGGGATTATTTTCATGGTGGGGTAATTGTCCCGTTGGTAATTTGCCAGGGGGAGGGAGGTGGGTGATTGTCCAGGGGGTAATTGTCCTAGAACCCTTGTATTCATGTAGCAATCGATATACTTAGTAGGTAACTGACATGCAAGGCAATCACCCTGAGTGACTTCTCTGACTTGTTAAGACCAGTGATGTGATGTCTTAGTCTACCGTCTGACTTTGTCCCACAGCCAAGAAGCCTGCAACATATAAATGAAATGTAAATTGCGTATAAAACAGAGGAATTGAACGAAGATGTTAATTGCACCCATATGTAGATGAGTGCATGTACGGTTAAAGTGTACCGATCACCTGAATATTATTTGTGTACAGCTAGAATGTATAAAATCAACACGAAAAAAAATGACCTGGCATTCTTTGGGTTAACGGTATGAAGTATGAAGAAATAAGTGACAACATAAATAGGGCGAGCACGGGACCGAATTCAGTCTTCGGTTCCATGCGTGCCCTATTCTTCTGCAAGCACATACGGGTGCGTCGACAACTCTACCACGACGTGTCACTCTTATAATTAATATGCTTCTTAAAATTATATTTAAACACGCATAGAGGCGGCACTCCAGCCGGAAGGAGGGGGGGGGGCATGGTGCCCCTTTTCTTCGAGTACCTCAAAAGAGCCTCCTTAAATTTGTAATAAGTGCCCCTTTCCCCTTCTCATATATGCTCTTATCCCTCTGATAAATATTCCTATTCTAATGTGAAAGTTGACCCTTTTGCTTTGATGAACGACCAATTTTCGTTAGTAATAAATTCCACTTTTTAAGTGCGATAAGTGCCCCTGTAACTATTGGGGAAGGGGGGGGGGTAAGAGGAATTTTTCCCCCCGGAATTTTAACATCTGACCGGTTTACGTTTCGTTATGTTAGGAAGGGGAGGGGGGGTGGTAAAGTCACCCTTTTTTGGGTCACCCATTAGCATAATTTTTTTTGTTTTGCGTCCCGAAATTTGAAAATTTGACCGGTTGACATTTCGTTCCGTTAGGGGGGGGGGGGGCGGTAAGGTCACCAATTAGCATATTTTGTTGTTTAATTAAACAAAAAAATAAAATAAAATAAGGGGTGTTTCTCCAAAATCCACACTAAAAAAGAAAAGAGGGGGTTGACAACCCCCCACCCCCCCCCTTCTGAATGATGTAGTATAAGTAGCCTGACCAGAACAAAATGACGCACTTCGTACAGATTTTCTATTTCTATGCGGGGTACAATACACGCAGAGTTGACATGATCGACCGAAGTGAAATGCATATGAATACGAATCCCAACGCACGAGGAAACATGCACTTCTTTCAAAAATATGATCGTTCATACAGACTGACCTTCGACAGTAACAGACATGCGTTTTGGCTTCATACTAATACATTTATTTTTTCTTAATGTTGACAATTATATTATTGGCATCACACCAGTGATTAAATGTGATATTCTCAGTTATTTCTACTAAATCAAGACAAGATTTTCCAATTCGAAAAGAGTGGTCAATTCAGCTGCAAACAATAATTTATGGAGGAATTTAGTAGGTCATTTAAATAGATCAGTACAAAGAGTAGGGCATTGTGATGAACAGAAACATAATAAACCAGCTGAACACATGCAAGACATCAAGATGATCGTTAAGAATTTGTTTTGGTATATTTCCAGCCAATTTTGTTCGTGAAAATGATACACATACATGTTTGTACTAAATATAATGGCATTCAAAGCCCTTGCTAGCTTTCAGAAATTCATGTCATCTTCATGTTATCATGTATACGATGTCATGAAAAGGTTGGCGAATTTGCTACTTTCCAGCTGACAGACTCTCAAGCTATTCTTGAAACCATGAACGAAGTTATTAAATCCAATAGTAAACATCCAATAAAACAGGTATATTTAAAATAAATTCACAACAAAAGTACAAATTAAGCGCCTTTAGTTAGAGGCAATGTGTCATTGTAAACTAAAGCGAAAAACACCATCTGGAGTTCAAGATGTTTGATACTTTTAGCATTAAAAATGAGGTTTTCATCAATGATTATTATAGGTATTATAACTATTAATGTTAATTATATCATCATTGTTAATATCAATAGTCATTTTTATGTTATTATTATTATTTTATTTTATTTTTATTTTATTTTTTGGGGGGCTTCCAACATTATTATTATTATTTGTATTAATATTATTCACTGACTAAAGATGTGTACGATAAACTCACATTAGATGATTCATCATCTTCACATGTTTGCAACACTCGACGAGATCAACCAAGTCTCCCTCGTCCGTGACCTTCACTCTGGATAGACAAAGCCACTGTAGGTTCTTGGTTTGTTCTCTGATCAGAAGACCCAGTCCACTGATCGTCTCTCTCGATACGCTGTTCTTCTCTGATGGGAGTGATGACGGTGCTCTAAGGTCGATGTGTGTGAGCTGCTGTCTTCCGGTCCGACGAAGACAAGCCGTGATCTGAGGTATGTCTCTCTCTGGATCATCGGTAGTGATATCGATATCTCTGAAGCCAGGAAGCGATGAGAGCAGACCTTCATAGTTTTGTGACGTCACACTCTCAGCTGATAGCTTTGTGACGGATGGAAGCTCACGAAGAAATGGAGGGAAACTGAGAGAGGATTCTGAAATGCTGAGATGGTTCAGTGAGGTGAATGATCTGAGACAGGACCATAATCTGGCAGTCATCTCGGTAGATAGCTGGCATTTCTCTACGAGGAGTTGACCATTATCCTGGAATTAGAAAGTAATTGGATATGTTAGCCATATAATAAACAACAAATATTGGAAATGGGTAGAATTTAAGGGAAGGCACCGTGCTTTATGAAGTTGACATTATAATTCAGAAGCAAAAACAGAAACATTTTTATTATTTATATTCTCTTAAAATATTGCTGTACATGTCAACAAAAATATCACTGCCCCCCCCCCCTCCCTCTCTCTCTCTTCAAGAAACGGGTCGTCTTTTTATAATTTCGTCAATGTTTTCCTAATCCATTCACCCCTTTGAATCCTTATGCCAGATCTCGATCCTTACAAACATAATAAACACAGGGGGTAATTTTCAGGGGGGTGGTTGTTCTCGGGCGTACTTTGTCCTTCAACCATACAACAGTTGCTTTAAAACATTTGAGTGATGGGAGTAATCTGTGCTCGGCATTTAAGTGATTCCATTGTTACGTATGGAAATCCATTAGTGCCACAATGTGAATTAAAATTTAAGAGGAATTAAGTGGTGGCTCCCACTTAATTATCTGGAAACATTGCAACGTAAATGATTACTATATCAATACATGTCCACGAATATATGATCTCTCTCTCTCTCTCTCTCACACTTTCTCTCTCTCTCTCTCTCTCTCTCTGTCTTTCTCTGTCTGTCTGTCTCTGCCTCTGTCTCTGTCTCTCTCCTTCTCACTTCCATCCTCCTTCTCCTCCTTTCCCTTTTCTACCTCTCTCCCATTTTTGCCGTGTATTCTGTAGCGTACATGTACACTTTTCTAAGGGGATTTTTTTTTAGCCGACTCATGTTTCATGTAATACCACGTACTCCATTGTTCTCCTTCCCCCTCTAAGTTCCTCTTTTTCTCTCCTCCCCTCTTGCCCTATCCTTTACTAGCTTTATTTGCTCTCACTCAATCTATCTCCATTTAATATTATCCAGTATATTGCCTCATTTTGCTTTCAACGGCTGTAATTAGTATTTGGACAATTAGATAAGTTTTCAAATGTATGTTTTGATCATACTATATATGCTGAAAATGAGTTACACTTTACAATTTTATGTCTTTCTTACGTTATTAACCTCTCTTGTCTTTATCTTTGTTTGTTATGCAATTATGAGTTCAATATGTACTTATCAAGTCCATATATACGTTGTTTTTATTGTGCAGGGCGCTAAGCGATAGCAGTTTGTTAACTAAAGAGGTAAGCCTGCTTTAAATAAAACGGTACAGATAATATATATATATGGTCTGTGCCAATAAATCAATCACTTTGTTTTGCATACATGTGAATCTGATCTGCGAATGGCTGATTTTCATTTAAACCGTCAACCTGTCTCTTTATTGCATGATATGACGGACCGGTGGGTTGGTGAATGGCTCTAAACATACCGGTCATTCACGGTTTGTGTTAATGTTAATTTCAATTCTATTTTCAAGCTTTTGTAAATGTAGGGTCATCGGAAGCATAATTTTATAATCTTGTAGTTAACATGTACATGCAGCACCTACATCCAATATAATATAACAATAAACAGGATGCCATTATATTTTTACAAACACGCTATACACATGAAGATTAAAAAAGCTGAGGTTGTCCAACTCTCCAAACATGTTGAAGAGCAAGCCAACATAATAAAGGCACTTAAGAATGTTACTAATGATCAGGAGCAGTACTCCAGACGAAATTGTTTGAGAATCTTTGGTGTGTCCGAGAAAAAAGGAGAAAATACGGACGAGATTGTCTGTGAGCTAGCAACAAAAAAGCTAGGTGTGTCACTGAAGATCGGAGATATTGACCGCTCACACAGAGTCGGACCACGGAAACCGGAACAGCCTAACGAACCGGAGCAGCTCAATGGACCGGTGGGACCACAAAGGGAAGCAACCACACTATCCGGTAAGGAGACCAAAACACGCCATCGTCCAATAATTGTGAAGTTCGCCTCTTACCGCGCCAGGCGAGCCGTCATCTCACAACGCCGCAAGCTCAAGCAATCGAAAATGGGAATCGAAGAGGATCTTACTAGGACAAACCAAGAGATCCTTCTCAAAACTAGGAATCACAACAAAGTTGTTGCTGCATGGAGCTCTGACGGTCGAATAATAGCTCTCATGAAAGCTACAGGTGGCAATACCATCAAGAAATTAATCAAGAGTCTGGATGATCTCAAGTATCTCTAAAACTCAGAGGGAATACAGTTTTTAATCTTAGCTTTTTAATGTATATTCCATGAGCAATGTTAACTTAAAGGATCAAATAATAAGTATTCAATCACTAAAGGGACTCAAAATTGCACACTTAAACTGCACATCTCTAACCAAGCATCTAGACGAAATAAAATGTATGCTAAAAGAATGTAACTTTGCTATACTTACCTTGAGCGAAACTCATTTGAGCGAATACATTAGTAACGGTGAGATTCAAATTACTGGATATGACATCATAAGAAGGGATCGCAATAGATCAGGAGGTGGTGTGGCAGCTTATATAAAGCATGGCATCACATATACACAGATAGATGATATTGTGCCTGACAATTATCTTGAAATTATTACTCTTGAAGTTAAATTTGGAAGGTACAAATCATTTTATGTGATTGATTGGTACAGACCGCCAAATGCAAAGGCTGAATGTTTTGATATGTTTGCAAATATCCTGCAAGCTATAGATGACTTAAATAAAGAATGCATTATTATGGGAGACCTAAATTGTGATGTGTTACCCCTACCTAAGTCTTGGCAAACTAATAGGCTGACAGACATCTCTGAATTATATAATTATAGTCAATTAATTGCTGCACCAACTCGAGTTACTCAAACTACTTCCACTGCTGTAGATCTGATTCTTACTAATACTCCATTAAAGATAAGGCATTCGGGTGTTCTTGAAATAACCATTAGTGACCATTACTTAATTTTCTGTGAATTTGGAAATGATCGACCACATAATGCATATCATAAATATCATGTTGGCAGAAATTTCAAGAGGTTTGATGAAACACATTTCAAGGAAGATGTTCAAGATATAAACTGGGATGCAGTTCACAGCGAACTAAATCCCGACCAAGCTTGTGACATCCTAATAACTAAATTGGTTAATGTTATAAATAAGCATGCACCATTACGTGAAAAAAGGGTGAAGAATAAAGACTCACCGTGGATGACACAAAATATCCTACAAAAGATTAAAGAAAGAAATAACCAGAAAATCAAAGCTAGAAATACAAGGAATGGTGATGAATGGGGTAAATATAAAAGACTAAGAAATAATGTAACATATATGATCAGAAAAGCCAAGCATGACTTCATTTCCCAAAAGATTGAATCTAGTAATAAAAACACTAAAGAAATTTGGAAGTCTCTTCGATACCTTGCACCAAGTAAATCACGTGATGGTCATGTACCTAAGTTAGTGATTGACGGAAAGGAATATGATAAGAATGATGATATTGCAAATCACTTCAATGATTATTTCGTTAACATTGGTAAAGATTTGCATGATAGTATAAATAACGAATCAGAGTCCGATGATGTTCCTCGAATCGTCTACTCCGCTGGGTGTACTTTCTCTCTGAAGGCAATTGAAGAAAGTCATGTTTTGAAAGTTCTGCAATCCCTCTCACCAAATAAGGCAACGGGACCGGATCAGATACCGGCTAAATTGCTGAAAAGTATTGCCACAAGTATCGTTAAACCATTAACACACATCATCAATAGATCAATCATTGAGGGGATTGTACCATCAAAATGGAAAATTGCTAGGGTGACACCTGTGTTCAAGCAGGGTGATAAAATGAGTACCAATAATTATAGACCAATTTCTATTATTTCTGTACTTGCTAAGGTCATGGAAAAGATTATTTATGATCAGTTATACTACTATCTTGATACAAATGACTTGTTATGTCAAACACAGTCTGGTTTCAGAGCTAAACACTCTACCCAGACGGCATTGTTGAATGTATCTGAAGAATGGATGAATGCCATTGATAACGGTGCAATTGTTGGTGCCGTAATGATAGATTTACGGAAAGCATTTGATACCATCCACCATAAAACACTTATTGATAAGCTGAGTGCCCATGGTCTTGATGAACAGACAGTCTGTTGGTTTGAAAGTTATTTGAGTGAAAGGAAACAGTCTACGAATATAAATGGTGCTCACTCCAATTACAAATATATTACTACTGGAGTTCCACAAGGCTCGTTATTGGGGCCGGTACTTTTCTCCTTATATATTAATGACCTTTCACTTGTAATAAATAAATGTAAAATTTCATTGTATGCAGATGATACATGCATCTATTATTCCTCAAAAAAACCTGGTGAAATTCAACAAAGTCTTAATGAAGATTTAGGGCAATTATATAGATGGTTACAATCCAATAAACTGATATTGAATCTTGAAAAATGTGAACTTTTATTAATGGGCACTAGTAGAAAACTGAAAGTATTGAATGATAATGTACCTTTTAGAGTTATGATCGGTGGTAGCCAAATAAAAAGGGTTCAAACTTGTAAATACTTAGGTGTTATACTTGATGAACATCTTAACTGGAATGCACACATCGGATACGTTAAAAAGAAAACACTGAATAACCTTTATCTGTTGAAACGGATAAGGCCATTTATTTCAAAGGATGTGGCTTTATTATTTTATAGAAGTAACATACAAAGCTATTTTGACTATTGTTCTCTTGTATGGTGTAACACTGGCAAGACTAACATGCAGACATTACAGTTATTACAAAATAGGTCACTCCGTGTTGTACTACGTGTTGGTTATATGTATTCTAGCCAATTGATCTATGATTCACTTAATTTCGATAAATTAGATGTTCGATTTTGTAAACACCTTGCTCATCTAATGTTTAAAGTTGTCAAAAAAGAGTTGCCTAGTTACATTTATATGCAATTTATAACTCAGACATTTAATTACAGTCTCAGGGTTGGTGATGTGCATTTTTCCATACCTCGCATAAAAACAAATTATGGAAAAAGATGTTTAAGATATAGGGGATCCAAATTATGGAATGTAATCGGGAAATCATCATCTGTATACACACTCACAGCTCAACAATTTAAGAAGTACATTATCTCCCTTGACTGGAAACATATTTTTACCCAAATGTACCAATACTGATTTTTTTTTGTTTTTTTTTTGTTGTTGTTGTTGTATATCTCATGTATTTAATTAATGTAATTGTTTATTTGCTTATTTTTTTGTATATTTCATGTATCTAATTGTTTATTTCTTTGCTTGTTTGTTGATATGATTTGTAACCGTTTTTAAATGTGTGTGGACCCCTTTGAAAATCAACTTAAGTTGAAAGGGCAATCCACCCCACATGTGGAAATAAATAAATAAAAAAAAAAATTAAAAAAAAAATATACATTTAAATAAATGTATGTTACACTGTCTAATGATATACTTGAATTCCGTAAAAGGATAATTACCCCCAAGAACAACCACCACCAGAAAATTACCCTCCAAGGACAAGTACCCCCAGAAAATTACCCTCTAGGACAATTACCCCCCCCCCCCCCCCCCCCCGCAAGGCAACAAAGGACAGCAACCCCTGAGGACAATTCCTCCCCCGGAAAATTACCCCCTGTTTATTAAATAGGAAGTTCATCCTGATAATAATTCGGTTTATTCATTTTTTCGGGGGGGGGGGGGTAATTGGCCTGGGGAGGGGGGGGGGGGTGATTGTCCAAAAGGGTAATTTTCAGGTGGGCATTGTCCTCTGAGTGGGAGGGGTGTGATTGTCCAAGGGGGTAATTTTCAGGGTGGGGTGATTGTCCCGTTGGTAATTTGCCAGGGGAAGGGAGGTGGGTGATTGTCCAGGGGCTAATTGTCCTAGAACCCTTGCATTCATGTAAAAATCGATATACTTAGCTCATAGCCAGCCATAAGGCTGCATGCACGCTATCGCTATGATGCTTCGTACATGCGAGAGAGCTACCTATTGAGTGCCATGTGCGTGCAAGGGCGCTTTCGTAATAGCAGTTATTGTTCATGCTCATTGGACTGTGCTGTGTGTTTTGCACTCGCAATTCATAGAACCATCGCGTTAATCAGATTATCTCCAAAACAACCTGGCACGGGGGGATTTGGGGCTTGGCACACTGGGGATTAGCCCTGTGGCATGATAATTAGTAGGTAACTTACATGCAAGGCAATCACCCTGAGTGACTTCTCTGACTTGTTAAGACCAGTGATGTGAAGGCTTAGTCTATCGTCTGAGTTTGTCCCACAGCCAAGAAGCCTGCAACATATAAATGAAGTGTAAATTGCGTATAAAAAAGAGGAATGAAAAGAAGATGTTAATTGCACCCATTTGTAGATGAGTGCATGTACGGTTGAAGTCATCACCTGAATATTATTTGTGTGCAGCTAGAATGTATAAAATCAACACGAAAAAAAATGACCTGGCATTATTTGGGTTAACGGTATGAAGTATGAAGAAATAGGTGGCAACATAAATAGGCCGCGCACGAGACCGAATTCGGTCTTCGGTTCCATGCGTGCCCTATTCTTCTGCAACCACGAGGTATAATATATATATATACACCCCCTTCACATACACGGATTTTTCTTACGAGTCCTTACAGGTCGCACAAATTCACGGATCTTTCACGGATCCTTGAGATTTGGCCACTATGTAGGTCTACAATACGATCGATTTAAGAGTTGTTACGAGTTATCGCGATGTATTAAGGCAAAGTTCCACGATTTGTGACGAGTTGTCACGGAAACTTACGAGCAACTTACGTGTTAGTTATTCTCCTTTCGTTAGTTCAAGTCATCTAGTTAATTAGGATTTCTGATAGCATTTGTGTACATAATTGCATGGGGACATTACTGCATTTTCGAACACTTTAGCTGAGCTACCCTACTTTAGTAGAAGTGTCGAGTTTTATTTGTCCAGTCAACCTACACTGTTTCCACTAGTAGACTACTCCTGCTTTTCGGCATCTACAAGTAACCTCCAGTTCTACTAGTGGTAAGTAACATTCGTTCATTCAAAGATTTGTTTACATATGTACGTCAAAGGCCAAAGGTCACACCTCATTAAATATGCAAAAAGGGATAATTATGTACATGAGAAAAAGCTGCAGTAAATATAGTATTGTATAATGGAGGTAACTTGCTCTGACGTATATAGGCCATTGTACCTGGCGAGGGGATGCAACGCTTTGCATTGGTTGTTTAAATTGTTTTTTTTAAACAGGCAACAGAGGAGGCACTCCAGCCGGTGTCCCTTTTCTTCGAGTACCTTAAAAGAGCCCCCCTTATTTTTTGTAAGTGCCCTTTCTTGTTCACTTTTTATACAGACAATTCCCCAGTTTTCTTTCTTATAAGTGCCCCGTTCCCGTTCGCATAAATGCTCTTATCACCTGTGATAAGTATCCCTATTCTAATCTGATAGTTGACCCTTTTGCTTTGACGAAATACCCATTTTCCTTAGTAATAAATGCCACTTTCTAGTGCGATATAAAGGTGTCCCTGTTATATACTATGGCACGTGTCCCTTTCCTTTCTACGAAGTGCCCCTTATCATCCGTAATGAGTGCCGATTTCTAGGTATGAGAAATACCCATTTTGAGATCTGATAAGTGATCATTTTACTTTGACAGATGCCCATTTTCCTTTCTAATTCGTTATGTGTTTGCATAACACAAGATTTATGCTTGTAACAAAATGTTCGTTCATACACTCAAAGACCATGTGATATAGACATGTATGTTTTAATAAATGAATGATGTAGTAACATAAGTAGCCTGATCAGAACAAAATATCGCACTCCGTACAGATTTTCTATTTCTATGCGGGGTACAATACACGCAGAGTTGACATGATCGACCGAAGTGAAATGCATATGAATACGAATCCCAACGCACGAGGAAACATGCACTTCTTTCAAAAATATAATCGTTCATATAGACTGACCTTCGACATTAACAGACGTTTTGGCTTCATACTAATACATTAATTTTGTCTTAATGTTGACAATTATATTATTGGCATCACACCACTTATTAAATGTGATATTCTCAGTTATTTCTACTAAATCAAGACAAGATTTTCCAATTGGAAAAGAGGGGTCAATTCAGCTGCAAGCAATAATTTATGGAGGAATTTAGTAGGTCATTTAAATAGATCAGAACAAAGAGTAGGGCCTTGTGATGAACAGAAACAAAATAAACCAGCTGAACACATGCAAGACAGCAAGATGATCGTTAAGAATTTGTTTTGGTATATTTCCAGCCAATTTTGTTCGTGAAAATGATACACATACATGTTTGTACTAAATATAATGGCATTTTTTGCCCTTGCTAGCTTTCAGGAATTCATGTCATCTTCATGTATACGATGTCATGAAGAGGTTGGCGAATTTGCTACTTTCCAGCTGACAGACTCCCAATCTATTCTTGAAACCATGAACGAAGTTATTAAATCCGATAGTAAACATCCAATAAAACAGGTACATTTAAAATAAATTCACAACAAAAATACAAATTAAGCGCCTTTAGTTTAATAGAGGCTATGCGTCAATAATATTGCCCATTGTAAACTAAAGCAAAAACACCATCTGAAGTTCAAGATGTTTGATACTGTTAGCATTAAAGTTAGGTTATCATCAATGATTATTGCAGGTATTATAACTATTACTAGCAGGACCCGCGGAAATCCGCGGGATCCTAGAGGGGGGCGGGGGGTGTAAATAGATATATAGAGACTGTCTAAATTAAAACCACCAAGAACTTTATTTGCCATTTAGGCCATTAAGAAATATACATGTTAAGCGTCCCCGCCCGCTTCCTTTTTGGGGGCCGCCTCCTATTTTTTTTTTTGAAATTTTTTGAAAAGTTTTTTTTTTTTTTTTTTTTTTTTTTTTTTGAAAGAAAAAAAAACAGCGTCCCCGCCTGCTTCCTTTTTGGGGGCCGCCTCCTATTTTTTTTTTTTTTTTTTTTATTTATTTATTTTTTTTTGAAAGAAAAAAACATGAAAAGCACTGCTAAAATGTATTTCTGATTTAAAAAAAGAAAAAAAAATTGTCGGCCGCCATCTTGAAAAATAGCCTGAATGTCAGGAAAAATGTACGGAGCGGCCATTTTGAAAGAAAAAAAAAAGGAAAAAAAAGGGCCTCCTCCTTCCCATTTTTCGAAAAAACAGGAAGCTAAACATGTTTTTTTTTTAATTTGGCCTTATATAAAAATAAAAAAAACGATCCAACTGTACCGGTAGTTATTCTTTAAGCCACTGGAACTGCGTAGAGTTCCGTAGTGTGGCGTACCGACTACGCAGAAATTAGGCTGCGTATTAATGGGGAAATAGTCCCTGCGTAGGTTATGCGTAGGCTGGCGAAAAAAATTAAACAGGTTGAATTGTTTTCGTTCATCTTGCGTACCCCTTTCCGTCCCTCAGCATATAGTAACGTAGGCCAGCGTAGTTGTTACGCAACACTACGCAACTCTACGTATTGACCCCACGCCAATTAGTGACCCGCAAGTGTCACAAATAAAGTATTAAAAATATGCTCATCTGACCCTATACGCCTAAAACCCCCGAGCTTTTGGGGGTTTATGGCCCCTTGAAACCCGTGGACCCCACGCCTATATTATATATACACTCAACTCGCTGCGATCTGATCTCTCTTCCCCCCCCCCCCCAACTTTGAAAAACGTAACCCCCGAGCTTTTGGGGGTTTATGGCCCCTTGAAACCCGTGGACCCCACGCCTATATTATATATACACTCAACTCAGGACCCGCGGAAATCAGCGGGATTCTAGAGGGGGTGCGCAGGCAAAAAATTAAGTTTTTCATTTCGGGGGCTCCATTTCAAATTTTAGGGAAATTTTCTGGGGCTCTTTTTTCTGGGGCTACTTTTTCATTAATTCATATAAGAATAGGCCTACACTTTGTTGAGATTTGTTTAGTAGGCTATTAGGTTTCAGGCTTCCTACTTCATAATTGCCTATTTAAAAAAAAAAAACATTTTTCTAGTTCAATAACTAAGTTTGCATGCATTGATTTGATGCAAGAACTGTAACATAATAGACCCTAGATTGTGATTATTTCTGACCATGAATTTCGATAATCATTTTTCAAAGTAAAATTTTCACAGGAAAATCAAACAGTCTTTTAAAAACGTAGACATTAGAGTCTAGTAATACTTTTACTAATTCTAAGCTCAGGTTTCGTAAATCTATTCACGAAACTATATTGAAATCGCGGCAATAATGATGCAAACCAACAGATAACAATTTCAAAGTGTCAAATCTCTTCGACTCGAATTCAACTCACACACTTTCAACTGCAACTCAGCTCATCTCACACACACTACACAGTGGCAATGCACTGTCAGTTACGGTGATTTTGTCTGATTTTCTTTACTTTGAAGAAATGATTATCAAAATTACGTAAACATGGCGAGAACATCACAAAATAGGCTTTAATTTCATACCTCTATTTATGGAAACTTTATAATATTGCAGCAATCGTGAATTCGTGAAGGAAATTGATTGCAGTTTCGCGATGTTTAGTGGTTCATGGTCTAGATTCAGCTTCTACCGAAACAAAATCGACCGCCAAAAACTCGAGCCCTACGCTCCGTCTCGATCTCGCAACTGCGAAAATGTACGTGTTTTGGCGTACTTGCGTGCGACATGGTAAGCCAGGTAAGGTATGGAATATGGTTCGAGTTTTTTTTACGACCGATTTTTGTGTATACAATTTTATACGGATAGTCATCGGTCGTGTGTCTACGGATGTAATGTTGAATATCCATGAGGTATCTCTGTCGTCACGCATATCCTGCATTATGCATATCGCGTCTGTTTTCGCCCTGGACGTCGACACGGAGGAGGACCTCGGGCGAAGTATAGCCAATTCCACAGAGTAGACTCTCCCGCGGACGATGGCACCGGGCACCGGGACCCCGAGGGGAGGGTTCAGGAGGAGATAGCTGCACCAACTTGGGTCGGCGATCTCATTAAAAAACAATAGACTACAAAGGCTCGCGGAGACGTCATGCCCTCCCGCGGAGCCTTAGCGTATTATTATTATAGATTGTTAATTTTATATGTATTGTTATTAATTATCATTATTATTTCTGAGGCTACCAACATTATGATTATTATAATTTTAATATAATATTATTGACTGACTAAAGATTTGTACAATAAACTCACATTAGATGATTCATCGTCTTAACATGTATGCAACACTCCACAAGTTCAACCAAGTCTTCCTCGTCAGTGCCCTTTACTCTGGATAGACAAAGCCACTGTAGGTTCTTGGTTTGTTCTCTGATCAGACGACCCAGTCCTCTCATCGTCTCTCTCGATACACTCGTCTTCTCTGATGGGAGTGATGACGGTGCTGCAAGGTCGATGTGTGTGAGCTGCTGTCCTCCGGTCCGACGAAGACCAGCCGTTATCTGAGGTATGTCTCTCTCTGCATCATCGATAGTGATATCGATCTCTCTCAAGCCAGGAAGCGATGAGAGCAGACCTTCATAGCTTTGTGACGTCACTCTCTCGGTTAATAGCTCTGTGACGGATGGAAGCTCAGGAGGAGATGAAGGGAAACTGAGAGAGGAGTCTGAGATGGTGAGATGCTTCAGTGAGGTGAAGGATTTGAAGCAGGACAACAACTTTTCTGTCATCTCAGTAGATAGCTGGCACTGCTCTATCTGAAGCCTAGTATTCTGCAATTAATTACAAATAGACAAACCTTTTCACTTTTATATACATTGATCTATATATTGAGACTAAACGTGTGGACATATAGAATCCCACGTCAGAGAAGCTGAAAGTACAAATATTAAATTCATATTCCGATTATTAATTGAGTTCTTTCAACAACAAAAAATGCAACTGTATAGCAACTCCTTATTATTATAGTTAAATTCAGAGGATATCCCTTTGTTGAATATTTCAAAGCGAAATGCATGCACCAGTAAAGCAAAAGTCACTCACCTGGACGATGTTCTTTTTGTTCCCAGATTCACCTCCACTGCTACAAAAAATATTTGAAAAGGAATGAATGTGATTCAAGCAAATCTTGGGAAACGATATTACATTAATAAAGAATGCAAGTGAATTGTACATCCCCTCTTTACAGATGTAAATGAAAGCAACAATACTAACAATAACAATAATGATAATAATCATATTATAATAAAGGTAATAATAATAACAAATATAACCATGATCATGATATCAATAATAAAAAGAACATCCATAAAATACCAGAAATACATTATTTGGTGTTCATGCCGTTTTCAAATTAAAAAGCGCCATTAACAAAAAGATCTGTAGTGACCAAAATTCGCGGAGATTTTTGAAAATATATTAGAAAATGTGATATTCGATCCATGATTTCTCATATTCTACACAAATATATATTTATTTCAATTATTAGCAAATGGACGGCAAAGTTTTTAACTACGAATTGGTGCAACTACAACATTTATCATCAAAGGATTCAGGAGATATCGCGATCTAAATTCGGTGCCGGATTGGCGCGCGCGCTGCTGCAACTCACGAATAAGTCATAAAAAACAACGAGACCTTACTTCGTGCACGCGGGGTTACATCTGATTTATCAAAAAATTCAATCGATCAAATGTAAGATAATTGGATATTTTGCAAGGAAAAATATCATACAATCAGTTACTACCAGGGGTGGCGATGTTTAGGGGGAGGGGATCGTCCCCCCCCCCACTGGAAAATTTGAAAAGTGCACACACAAAAATGTATAGCAAATACTGACTAAGGTCAAAGACTGCCACACTTTTTCTTTGTTAGGCTCTGGAGGGCCCAAGAGTGCAGCGTTTGGACTAATACAAATGCAAAAATCTTCTCGCTCGGTCGCTTGCTACAATCCCTCACATAATGTCCTTCAAAATGTACAAGTAAATATTGTGAAAAATCTGTATTTCGTTGGTATCACGTAAGCACAGTTTACACTGTATGTTTTCTAGATTAAGAGTAATAGAAATAGATCAGTGCTAAAAAATGCATAGATCTATTCCGCTCGCTCTTTTTATTAAGTTTTATTTTTTAACCCGTTGACTACTGAATTCAGTAATTCCCATATACTTAACGCAGAGACCACCAGGTTCCAGTAAGCAATGGGTTAAGGAGTCCCTTTCAGTTTCAGCCTGGTTATACAAATATTGTCGCCTCACTTTCTAAGGTAAGGGTAATGGTGTACATCTGTCTAAAAAGTAGTAGGTCTATTATTAAGTCAAAATCAAGGTCCTTAAATCTAGAGTCTATAGTCTAGACCTAATTTAAAGTTTACTAAAATTTAGACCCTACCTAGATTCTAACTTTAGATCTACTAAACAACCCTTCGGACTGCACACTAATTACCAGCAATGTAAAAGTGAAGTGTGACAAAAGTATTTGGCTTTATTGCTTGTTTGTAGGCCTATAGGCTATAGGCCTAGACCTACTAGATCTAGACCTATAGGCCTAGATCTAGTTTTGCTAAATAATGTAATGTTTTAATCCAACAAAACTTTTAAAAAATGTGAAATTGTATTAAAGGGGATAGCCTATAGGGTCTAGTCACTTCCGTCACCTTCGCCCCTCTCGTTCACTAGATCTAGACCTCTATGCTCCCTTGTCCCTCGCACTTTGTCGCTAGTCTATTTAGATCTAGACCTCTAGGCCTAGAGCTGGAGTATAGACTATAATAACCTCCAATTCCATTTAAAAAAAAATCGTCTCTCTGTAATTTTAGGTTTCTCTTTCCATTAGGGCCTAGTGATATCAGACTTTCGAAATGTTACCGATTTGTTGAGATAGCGAACTATGGTCACACCACCATACATGAATAAAGATCTAGGTCTAGATCTAGATCTACCTCAGCCTAGTAGTAGGCCTAGAAAAATCTAGTAGAAAATAGACCTAAATCTAGACCTCTAGTAGTAGATCTAGATCTATACCTACCCCAAATTCAAGTACGTTAGTTGTTTAGTCTTGACAAACATGTCCACCAAGGCTTCTTCGTCTCTGCCCCTCCCCCCGGACACATGCAGCCGATGTTGGTTTTCGGTTTGGTCTTCAAATAGAAGACTAAGCCCTCCAATTGACTCTCCTGATTCAATCTTCATGTCTGCGGTAAGTGATGTCAAGGCGTGTAGTCTGATATGAACAAAGAACTGTTCATCCATAGCCCTGGTCTGATTCATAGACCTGGATGCGGTGGTGATCTGAAAAGTGTTGCTCGTCTCTGCAACATCGATAGAGACATCGATATCTCTCACTCCAGGTATCGATGAGAGCACTCCTTCGTAGCTTTGTGACGTCACTCTCTCAGCTGATAGCTGTGTGACTGATATAAGCTCCGGAGGAGATGGAGGGAAACTGAGAGATGAGTCTGAGATGATGAGAGTATCTAAGATCAAAAAGTCTTTGAGGCAGGACCATAGTCCACTCGTCACGTCGGTAGTTAGAGTAGACCCCTCGAACTTTACTGTCCTAACCTGGTGTTCAGACACAGAGAGAGAGATATAATAGGAGAGAGGGGCGGGGGGGGGGGGGGCGGTGAAGAGAAAGAGAGATAGACACAAATAGTCAGAACAGTTGATGAAAATATCAATTTCATTTCTAGTCCATAATCTGGCCTGTTCTTATATTTCATCTCTATAATATTATCTGCACTTACTTCGAGCCGCCCAAGATGGCGTTATCAATGAACTAGTACACCCTGCCTTTTCGCCGGGCGTAGAAGTCCAAATATCACGTCATCTTCGGCTTGCAGCACGTAGAGAGAGGTCGCGATGGTGAGGATTATCTTCAATTAAATCGGCCAGATTCTGAAATATCTAATGTCTTGTTTTGGTGGTAATCATTAAAGCAATCGAGCCTACGACCTGATCTTATTTGAGAAATGTATTTGCTAAAGTAATGGAAGCTTCCTTCTCTACTTCTTTAAAATCATAAGTTAAAGATGTATTTTCTTCCATGTTAAATATAGAGATCCTTTGTTTTGCATAGGCTACTTGCTTTTGTTGACTGAGTCATCATTTTCCCTATATGAATAGGCCCTAGGGCCTAGCATTATTTGTTTGCATTATTTTTTTCGTTTCTGGAATGCAGTACCTTGATCAAGGCCGTAATTGGGCAAAGATGGAAAAATGAATTTTACGTCTTGATCATTTTATCTTGCATTATTATTCATGAAGATGCCGTCAATTAACCAATAATCTATTAAAACAATCTTACCCCTTTGACTGATAGTTTTAGCGGAGGGATGGAAATTCAATCAATCTTTATGAAATTGTTATTGCAAACACATGTTGTCAAATGAAAAAGGTGCATACTGTTATGTAATGGTAGTACAAGTCTACACCCCTTCAGTAATAATATGTAATATCACTCAGTATGCCCCAATGCAGATAAGACCCACCCTGCGAAATACCAGACCTCTTTCCAAGACATTTGTTTAATAACTTATTCCAGCCAAATAAATCCCAAATTGTATACATCTTTAAAGTGCCCCCAAACCTCCAAAACAAAAGACTTCCTGTCTTTCTCCCAATAACCAAAGCCCCCTTTGTTTGATAAGACCCTTTCCCAGAACAGTGTTAGCTAGATGACTGTCAGAATTGACTTGTCTTTGTCCCTTTGACACAATGTAACCTACCCTCATATTCCTTTTGTCCTCCTGTATAATTATAAGAGGTTCTGGCTTTCTAGGAGGAGTTCAGTTTTGATCACCATTAGATCAAGACCCTCTTTCTAGCTGGCTCTCTCTCTCTTCATCTTGTGCTTTACATATGTGGAAGTTTGTATGATGTGACTGATTTGAGTCTCGAAAGTTTGGAGATAATAAATACTCTTGATAATGACTCAGGAATTACAAGTCTCTCCTTGCTTCTTCATTGTATATGTACCTCTCCTACTGCCAATAACTCAATACACCGATCCCAACACGACAGAGGGAGAAGAGTTCAGACCATCACCAAGCTAGTACCTATACTTTGTCTGCTCTATATATTGTAAATATACTTGGGAATCTGAACTGTGTGACTCATCGTTTTAGAGTTATAATAAATTATACTCTTGCATATTACACTTCAAAGAAAGTCTCAGCATTTCTTTATTTCATGTACCTCTCAAGATTCCAATAGCTTACGACACCGATCTCCACCATGTCGTGTTGGGATCGGTGTGTTAAGTTATTGGCAGTAGGAGAGGTACATATACAATGAAGAAGCAAGGAGAGACTTGTAATTCCTGAGTCATTATCAAGAGTATTTATTATCTCCAAACTTTGGAGACTCAAATCGGTCACATCATACAAACTTCCACATAATGTAAAACACAAGATGAAGAGAGAGAGCCAGCTAGAAAGAGGGTCTTGATCTAATGGATGATTTAAACTCAACTCCTCCCAGAAAGCCAGAACCTCTCATGATTATACAGGAGGACTCAAGGAATATGAGGGTAGGTTACATTGTGTCAAAGGGACAAACACAAGTCAATTCTCGCAGTCATCTAGCTAACACTGTTCTGGGAAAGGGTCTTATCAAACAAAGGGGGCTTTGGTTATTGGGAGAAAGACAGGAAGTCTTTTGTTTTGGAGGTTTGGGGGCACTTTAAAGATGTATACAATTTGGGATTTATTTGGCTGGAATAAGTTATTAAACAAATGTCTTGGAAGGAGGTCTGGTATTTCGCAGGGTGGGTCTTATCTGCATTGGGGCATACTGAGTGATATTACATATTATTACTGAGGGGGTGTAGACTTGTACTACCATTACATAACAATACCTGACGTTTAAGTTGCTTTGGAAGATTTTGCATCCCAACGACGGTGTAGACAGTCGGTGACTTTAGAACAATACTCTCTGCATTCACACATCTTTGAACCAACGAGGACACATTTTGTTGAGTACCCTTGGTCTCTGATGAACAGTCAAGGAGAATTCGATATCGTTCGCTCTCATCCAAAAAGCGGTTGGAAAGGAGCGTCTCCATTATTCGTATGCAAAGGCTGTTATCTGTGCCAGCAGCGAATCGGATGAGATTCTCATAGTCACCGATGTTTGCTTCGATGTTTCGCAGCAGTCTATCCAACTTAGAAATCTTCAGTCGTAACATATATTTCTTCGTTTTAGCAGCAAGGTACTTCCCAGCCGAGTGTTCCTGAACGAGTTTATGATAAAACTCAATGGTCGTGGATGTGGTATTATGGGTTAGTGGGAGCATTTTCGTTGGAATCGTCGTCTTAGATAAGATCCCAAGCTCACATGCCCTCTCAAGGATAGCGGGAACTCTTCGGAAATCATGGGACGTGAATACTAGTTTTTTAGAGTCGTCGATTAGACCAGCTAAAGCAACCTTACCCAGCTTACGAATGATTTTGATTAGTTCTTCTTTTGTTATTTCGTCTTTTGATTTTGCTCGGGCATTGGCATGGTGCATCAGAAAGACATTCACACTGTCTAATAATTCCGTTTGCGTTGCAGTTTCAGTGTCCAAACGCTCTTCGCTCCATAAGTGACAGACCATGAGACAAAATAAAGGCGTTTTAACAAGTTCATTGATCAGTGGTTGGTCATCAAGGTAAACCTTCAGACCATGTCCACGACAAGGATTCGAAGTCGAAGCAAAGAACTTGTCGATGTACTCTCGTGAGCTCTCTTGCGAGAATCCTTCGATCCACATTTTAGTGTATACCCTCGGAAGTTCCGCTTGATTGAAGAAGTTCTCTAGGTGAGGGCGCGTCGTTACAAGGACTCTACACTCTGGAAATTCCTCCCAGCGGATGACACTGACAATGTTGCTCCCTAAGCTCCGGTTTGAAGAAGAAATACCGGCATACTCATCTAGCCCGTCTAGTATGATGTGACAGATTCCCTGATTCTCTCTAATGAAACTCTCCAGACCCTCTGGTGTGAGATCATCAACATCACTCAAAAGCTGGGATTTGATGGCTTCACCGATCGATGTAAGCTGCGTTGTGTTTCGGAATTTCACAACAAACAGAAGTGGCAGGTGTTCTAATGCTGACCCCTTTTCTCTGTGAACCCAGTCATAAGCCATCTTAGCGACAGCCGTGGTCTTCCCTCGTCCAGCCGGGGCCGAAATGAGGATTCGAGCTGGCAGTTCTCCGTTTACTTTCGTTGAAAATATTTCAGCAACAGAACCCTGGAGTATTTCCTTCTTTTTCGTGTCTTGTCCACGAGCATCCTTCTTCACCATTGTGACAACCGTGTGCATATCTTTGAACTCAGCATAATCACTTTGATCCCACGGTCTCATTTGAATTTTGCACAATTGATGTCGGTACTTTTTCTCCAACTTTTCGCGACATCGCTGAACAGTTAATGATGCCGAGATCTTCTTTCTGTATATACCTGTAATGATACAAGCATATTTAACACCAAATATGTTATTATACTCACATGAAGGCGCGTACACAGGGAGGGGGGGGGGGGTTAAACCCCCCATTTGGTATTTGTATGTGTCTAAACCCTATCCCCCTTCCCCCTCCCCCCACCCCCCTTGAAAAAATTATGTGTACGCGCCTGCTCACATGATATATCACCCCTTTGCAGGTTTTAGGGGGATGGTTGTTTTATCGTTGAAAGACAATGTACATGAATTCCGACGATTTGCCTCTTTGCCATAAGTAAAGGCTTAGAAGCGCACTAAACGCTGCTGCTATCTTTAATTAGACTGTACAGATTTGCTGGAAAACTTTCTCTCCAAATGGATATTGAAAATCTTTGGTATATTTTTTCCCTTTTTGTTAAAGAACTTTTTCAAACAAAAATTGAGGGAGAGAGAGGCACGGGGTGAAATAATATTAGGCCTACCCTGTCATACCATCTTCAAATTTAGTGCCAATGCCTCGTCAGTTCCCGGAGCCTCGCTACCAAAGGAATAAATGGATATTGCTCTAAATGTTACGTTCTTAAAACAATTAACGGGTGAAGGAAGTGCTTGTTAGGAACCTAGCACTGATAAACCCACCTGGATCGCTTAGTGTCCCCTTGAGATGTGTATCAGCAAGCATTACTAGCTTAGCGTCAATGAGAGCTTGTTCCAGTCTGAGGTGCTGGTCGCAAGGCTTCACGGTCTGTCTCCAGTCAAACAGCATGTCACGTGTTCCCTTAGAAGTCACCCGTCCTTCTATCCTATTGGTCTCCGTGTATCTATTGATGTCTTCGACCCTGAATCCGAGTGTTCGTCCTAAGGCCTCCATCTGCTCACCCGTCTCGATGTCTTCAGCCAGCTTGGAGAGAAGATCATCGGCAATACCTTTATGAGCTGCCATACCTATGGGGAAAATAAACAAAAGTAAAGATTAAGAAAGTTATTATGAATATAGCTTTTGTTATAATGGAAAGTAAATAAATGCTGTATACAGGGCGTCCCAGAAAAAACGAAACGGAGAATTATCGATATTCTATCATAACTTAGACCCCGTTCTCACTCACTTCGTTGGAGCGCTCTGGAGCGCTCTAACTAAGACCCGCTCCTCAGGAGCGGTTCTTAGGTGAGTGAGAACGCTCAAAGTGGTCCAGGAAGCGAACTTCTGGACCGCTCCAGAAGTCCACCTTCCGAGGTGGTCTTGAGGAGCGGGTCTTATTAAGAGCGCTCCAGAGCGCTCTAACGTGCAATGTGAACGGAAAGCGTACTTTGAACGGAAGTGACGTTCCGCGCGATGAGCGATCGGGCAGGCACTACACATATACATGTATACGGGACGCGTCGCGAACGGGACATCAGGTGACATAGGGTTTGGATTCCGCGCGCGAAAAAAATGACCCGCCTACCTGAGCTGCCATAGCAACAAGACCACTTTGACTCGTGGAGCGGTTTGAGCCATAAAAACTGCTCGGAGTGTGAACGCTCGCAAACCGTTCCTCAAGACCCGTTCCTCTGGAGCGGTCTGGAGCGGTCTAACTAAGACCACTTTCAAAGTGAGTGAGAACGGGGTCTTAGTCACATTATGATCACTAAATGACACATATTTGGACAGCTTAGATCCTCCTCTTTCATTTGATGCAACTCATATGATGCATATTTTACGCATGAGTGATTACAATGAATTTGATGAGAGAAAAAAAAAGTAATTTGGCGGACGGTATCTGAATTTCAAAGAGAAAATCACATTTCTAAGAAGTTGAGGTTCTGGCCTCTCATATGACACCTCAATCAGGAAAAATGAGCAAGTTCTATTTGTTTAAAGTAGTGCTTGCATTTCCATAATTTTATCAAAACGAATTCGTTTTCACTGGGTGCCTGCCATAACGACATGCAGAATTGACTCCGTTTCGTTGACGATCAGCCATGCAAGAAGTCTTTCGCACGGCTGATTGGCAACAAAAAAGTCTTTTTTCAACTCTGTTTGTTGATACGGCAGGTCTGCAGTCATCGCTCTCAGTGTGTGTGCGAGGGAGGAGGCTTCGAAATGTTGGAGTATATGTGTACTAACAGGTTCCCTTCCTGTTAGCCGGGGCAGGGGGCCACGATGCCAAATTTCATAGGAATGAATTGCTCCTTATTTAACAATATGATCGTGTTTATTTTTATTGATATAAAGTTCCCCTTCTATTGTTAAATCTTGGTAACTTAATTTATATTTTCTTTTCACGCTCAAACGTTTAATAGCTCCTTTAAACTATCAATCTACTCATTTTGCTAAAAGAGGCATCTTCCAACCAAACAAATATCATCCTTAAATTCCGTTGCCCTTTTTAAACTTTAAAGAATGTCAAGGTAATCGTTTTCCCTTTTGTTTAAGAACATACAGGTGTACGCAATGAGAGACTTTTGCAAATCGCGTACAAAATCACAATTCATGCCAAGCCAAGTTGTTTTGCCACGCTCTTCTCCTTAAAACAAATTATATATCATAACCTCCGTCACATGTTCTTCTCATTCAAAGCAACTGAATACAGAGTTTACAGAGTTTATCGCCGCGCCGTTTGACCAATATTTCAGATAAACATAGTTTCTTTCGATAAACAGTTTTTATCGCTCGATAAACAATGTTTTTCGGCGATAAACAGTGTTTATCTGAGTTATTGGTCAAATGGCGCGCCATATCCGCCCCTGGTCACTGTATCACAAAATGTATAAGCTATAGCGTAGCGAGCAAGCAATTTTTCTTCCTTTTTATATGATAACTGAAAAAATCTGCCTGCCTTCCACCCCTTTTTGTAATCAATAATTATTGTACGAGCATGTAGGCCTATATTTAATACTCCATTTCATTTCTCATTTTCCCCGATGTGTCGCGGATTTACCGTCATTAATATTATTATATCGACACCGTCCCGACACAAAGTTATAGGCCAATGCAAAAATATGGAAATTAAATCTTCCTATATTCTATTTTGTATCCCTTTTCCTTGTCTTTACCTTTTTCTTTTTCTTCTCTTGACCTTTTCTTTTCCATGTTTTCTTGTCCTTTTCTTTTCTTTTCCTTTCTTCCTATCTTTTTTCGCTGTATAAGGGAGCATTTGTCGATTACGGGGCACTCCTGCTACGTCGGCGGAATTTTACAGGGCACTTTTGGGGCGGAGCTGTCAGAGGAGCAATATTGTCGGCGGAGCAATGTCGGCGGGGCAAATGTCGGCGGAGCAAATGTCATCGGAGCAATTGTCGGCGGAGCAAATGTCGTCTAAGCAAATGTCGGCGGAGCAATTGACGTCAGAGCAAATGTCGCGGAGCAAATGTCGCGTAGCAATGGTCGCTTTCTGCGTAGCATTTGTCGGCGGAGCAATCGTCGGCGGAGCATGTGTCATGGATTCGTATTCAGACATAGAGAGAGAGAGAGAGGGGGGAGGGAGATTGCCATGTGACGGTACATGCAAATAGTGCCACAATGTCGTGTATCGCCATCAACATATTCAAATAGCATTTAAAAAACGATGAACAAATAATAATAATAAATCGCTTTGAAAATATTCTTTTATTTCTCTCTCCCTCTCTCTATCTGCTAAACCCACCGAACAGTGGAATCAACAGAGCAGAATCAAACGTGACACGATTTATTATGAGTCATACATAGCTGAAAGAGAGAATTGCCACGTCATGGTTGTATTACATGTAGAGAATCAAAATGGGGAACGACTGTTGCTGAAATTAAGCAACCTTGCCAGCTTCTCATGACCTGTTTAATAAATATATATCCTTGATTCATTGTAAGTACTTGAAACACCGCCAGCTATACTACAAGAATTCATCAGCAACTTTTCAGCTCCAGTTACTGAAGTCCGGCGATGTCGACCCTAATCCAGGACCGACAACGGAACATGGACATGTACACAGGGACCATGGTGCTACCAAGCATTCTACATCCTGCAATAGAAATGGAGAACGTACGGTGTATGGCAGGGATTTTCTTTTGCAGTGCAACCCTGCATGGAGACATTTGAGTTTTGAGACTGTGACAAATGGATTGCCAAATATACTTCACAAAACAGGTAGGAACAGAGGCATGCTCCATGAGAATGTATGGAGAGGGATCAAGGAACTAGGTATCCAGACACATCTCCGAGGGAAGAGAGGGGGACAGAAGAAGAATGTTACAAATGGGAAACTGAACTTCAAGAAACAGAGAGGGAGGAACATCGACAATCTTTTTTTTTTTTTTTTTTTTTTTTTAATAGTTTTTTTATTGCTTCAAATCAAAGATATTTACAATCGTTGTTCATTATAACATTCGATCTGCATAACAAATACAATACAATTCAAAGTTAACAAATGAACATGTAAACGAATAATTAGATATCAAATATCAAATCAAATTAAATTAGAGGTCTCCACTTTTGTTTGAGTGTATTCTGTTTTCCTTTTCTGAATGCAATTATATATTCTACTTGTTGAAGAAAATCTAGTTCTTTTGTAAAACGTAAACACGAAAGATTTTTTTCTTCATACTTTGTTTTATAAATAAAATATTTTGCATAAAATACAATTGTATTTATAAGATGGTGAGTTTTTTCGCCAAAACCAAAACAAATATCTAGGTATGAACATTTTTGAGTGTATACATTTTTTCTTAATAACCAAGCATTTATATCAGACCAAAATTGCTGAATTTTAGAACATGTACAAAACAAATGCAATAAACTTTGTGGTTCTTTTTTACAGAAATTACAGACTGGAGAGTTGTGTATGCCGATTTTATACAAATAATCATTCGTCGCCAAACGACGGTGGATAAATTTAAATTGAAATACACGAATCTTTGTGTCTAGCGTTACCCAGTATACAATTTCAAATCTATTCTGCCATTGAATTAAGTCTCTCAAATTTACATTCAAATCATATGACC